AAAAAACTACAGTAAATTTTTATTAGGAGTCATTCTGACCATTTTGGTAGCTCCAGTGCTAATAAAAGTATGAATTTGCACAAAGATTCATAGTCTACCAACGATTTTAGGTTTTTCAAAGCATCGATCCTTGTGTTCCCAATACCGAATTACCGAAAATCGAACGAAAACGGTTTCCCAGCGAAACGAAGGGAAACGGAAATTGGGGATCTTGAGGACCCCGGGGTCGAAGAGGTTCGGGGTTCAGCCATTAATCGTAATGATAAAAGATCGCCAGTGCACGGCGGTAATTGGCGGGGTCGGCGCGAAACAACGCCCCAGAATCGTTGGTGTTAATCGACGTCCATCGAAATTCGACGATCCAACGACTTTTCAATAATCGGTATGGAAATTCTGCACGCGAATCCGTCGTCGCGACCGTGATTATTGGCACGCGTTTAACCGCTACCGCTGACAAATCGTTTCCACGGAAGTGTCGTGAGTCCTGGTCGCCTTCCCAGGCCGACGCAGCCCCCCCGATTCTTGTCGATAATCGCTTTATAATCGCCGCTTTCGGGACGAATAATTACGCCAGCCACGGCCAGGCTGGGCCCCCCCCTCGTAATTAAGCACCGCCGCGTCTGGTTTCGTGCCCCGAAACAACGAATACCGACTACAAAGAGTCGTTATTTTTACTCCGACGCCGAATTCGCCGCCTCCGTTTGGCCCCGCGAATTTCTGCCAGACGCTTGACCCTAACGTGCACTTACCGGTTGACAATTTAATGGCCCCTTGTCCGACCACAGACCTCGAGATTTCCTCCCTTTTCGACGTTCCTTCTAATTCGCAGCTACGAACGTTCTTCAGAGTTTTGTCAATCCGTCTGGAAATTTGCAAAGGAACGAATAGGGGAAGGGGATCTGCAGGATACGAATTTAGTGGATTCTTTTTACTTACACCGGTCCTTTTGTATGCCTGGAACCAAACGACTTCCGATTCTTCGTGAAAATTGAAGAGTGTTGGGAATATGTTATTTCGAACAAAAGTTACGTCGTGGTGTTAAACGGAGGACAGTCTTGAAATGTTATCCATTATTCGATAAGAAGTCTATTTGGTCCCATGAAGACGTCCACAATTTTGCTGAGCGACGATCGTAAACTTTAAGTCGATCCGTAACGCCGATAAGTGGCTGTTAAGGAATTACTAAAACGATTGTTCGGTTAGAGTCGTTGCTCTTAATGGCTGTCCATAGATTCGTATATCTGACTAGAGACAAGGAACGCGGAGATACGTTTGGTACTCGATGGCGAAAGGTCGAGATATTCTCAGCGACTCTCTTACTTTCTACGTTGGAAACGAACGATAACCAGTCATTTGTTAAGTAGCATAAATTAAACGCAAGATTTTTCTTCCTTGTTCTCCGTTCGATAATTTATGGTTTTCGAGTAACTGGACGCTCTTCGACGAGACTACGTTCGTCGAAGCGTTAGCAAATTTAAAATCAACTTTAACCGAATAAAAATCTGTAAAAACGCGAACGTACAATTTCGCAGAAATCGCGGTCTGTTTCCGAGGCTGGTGAATGAAACGCAGTCGTGTATCGTGAAGAGATGATATAATTTATTTCGCTATATCGTTAGAACACGAACCGAATCTTCCGATGATCGTACAATCCTACGCCTTTGCACGTCGAATAAAATCACAATTCTTTTATGTACAATGTATTTACAAAACGGACCCCCGAACGCGGCTTGGTAATCGTTCCTTTCTCGCCTCGAATTTTCCCGGGCCCCCCTTGGAACGAACGGAAGTAGCCGTTCGCCAAGGAGACCGGAAACGACGATACCACGGGGAACGATCGCGATCGTCGCCCGTCGCCGACGCCCAGGCGTCCCAACTAACGTTCTATCGATACAATAATTTAAATCGTCGTTACATTTCGGAGACATCGATCGACAAAGGGGGAATACTGGTCGCTCGTGGGACCCACGGTCGGACCCAATTTTACTCGCGAACAACCGTTAAAAATCTTGGACTACAAAAATCAAATCGAACTATAAACGAATATCCAATATTTCTCTTCAGGAGCACAACTATCTGAAAAAGCAAAAATTCTGATAGAATTATAAATAGTTTTCGATGAAAAGAAGAATCTTTAGAAAATTACCTCTTTAACTTTGCTCTATGTTTCCTTTCTCTTTTTCTTTTATCGCTTCTCGATGGATTCGAATTCATTTTGAAAACGAGTCTGAAATTTCGGTTGGTCGTTCAGAATTAAGATTGGCCCGACCACGGTTGGGACAACGACGTTAAATACAATCGCAAGTACAACTCGATTTTACACTGGGATTCATCTCGCTATGGGTACGAAGTTTGGCACTCGCTTTCAGCATCTTCCTCTTCCTCTCCACACGCACTCACGGACACACTGGCACACGCACATTCATTCGGTTTTCGTCTTAGGGGCTTGCTCTCGTCGTGATCGCGCGCCTCTGTCAAATTATTTACACGGTCCCGGACGAGATCCTTCGTCCTTTTGAAAGGAGGCGCGGGACGGCTGATCCGCCTAGGATCACAGTCTACGATTCTTCTCGATATTTATTTACACGATTCGACGGGGTACACGGACCGTTCTATGGCAAGATGCGAGCGCGTCGACGACGATCAAAGGGGTGAAACAACCCCTTCCCTCCAGGGATGGTCGAATTTCTCGTCTGAACAATCAATTTTCTTCGTATCGAGCAGAATTTTTTACTGGGATTTAACGCGTTGATCGTCGAACCGAATCATATGAAATTTAATAAATTGCAATATGGCGTTCCCATTAAATTATTTTGTCTCTTTTTCTGTCACCTGAACATTGTGGCGATCGTGCGTGTCATAGCACATCTTAGACTTCTTCTTTTGACTTTCTTTCAACCAGTTCGGCCACCAATTATTTGCTCAGATTGCCCTCGAAAGCAACTCGCGACTCGTGACTCGCACGGAATCAGGAGCAAAGAAAGTACGCAAGAAAATTTACTACGTTTTCCCCCGGAGAGACGTTTCCTGTGTCTTTTTTTGGAAATCGATCGAGGAACTATGGTGAAAAAAGAAGGATGAAATGAACGTCGGAGACGGAGGTCGCGGATTCGTGGAAAACGCGAATGGAAAAGCAGGGGATGAACGGTCGACGAGTTCCTTTCGAACGCTCGACGTCGCCGTTTCCGCCGGAAACCCGACCGTTTAGCTTCGCCGAGCCTCGAGGAACAATGCTTCCATTACCCGGCGTTCGAGGTCTTCGAAACCTCGCGCCACTTCCGTCGATTCCGGAAACTCGACTCTCGAACTCGAGGATCTCGACGAAGGGACGGGCAAAATTCTTTTCCCCCAAACAACGAACGAAAGACGAACAAAAATAAAAGTGGACAACATTTTTTCCATTCTAATTGTTACTCGACGAAGGACGTATAAAAAGTTATTTTTCACTCGGTGACTGGTGACCAACGCTTCAAACTTCCAAGGTTAATTATTGTGTTACTCTTCCCATCAGATTCGATCGATTTTTTAATTTATTGTTTAGTTATTTGAGCGAAAGATCGTTCGTCGAATAAAAATTAGAATTCGAATTATAGGAGGAATCGTTTAACAACGAGCAAGTAAAAATGATGAAAACTATGTAAAAAAGACTTGTTTCAAAGGATGCAAACTATACCAAAAATTAAATTCCACGTACCTTTGAAAAGAGGGTAATTTTATCTGAATTTAGTTTGCCAATAAATAAACAATTATAAGTTTTAGAGGAACTTTGATTCCGGGGAGACCCGAGTAGCGCCATTTTTGGATACGGGGACCGCATCAGTCTTGCCAACAGGAGATCCAGACGATCGTGTCGTCGTTCTATCGTTCGAGGTTAAAATCTTCCGTCTGGAGTCACTTATTTCTAATCGTGCTTCGTACTTCGGTTTAATTCGGGCTCGCTCGAAAGGCGATTCCATCGATTCTTTTGCATTCTCCTTGCACCCTTCGCTCTCACTCGTATCTTCAATTTAACCCTCCATTGCATCAACTTTGTCTCGAAGAAGAAGTTATTCCAACGATGCAAACGAGCTTATCAAATTTTCGACATAATCGATTTACAGTTCGACTCAAACAGTGAACAAAATTTACGATTTACGTTGGCAGGCGGAGCTTATAGAAAAGTAAAAAAGGTGATTAATGTTACTGGAATGAGTCTTGATAAAAATAGTCAAAGGTCGAGATTGGTAAAGGGGCTCAAAGACAAGATAAAATTATAAGTTAACGACTATAAACTTTGTCCACTTTTCAGATCACGAAACCCTCGTTTATGAATTAAAAAAGTAAAGTTTTTGGTTATCGAATGCCCACGAATTATGCAATGGAGGTTTAAGATTTGCAGAATTTCCCGCAACTCCAATTCCTTTCCAGTGTTTCCACCGACCTGACTTCACACTTTCGCTCGACACGCTTCGTCCACGAAATTATCATGAATTACCAAAACGATTCCATGGAATTCCACGAACGCGAACGATTATTTACAAACGATTCTCGCTTCCGGAGGGGACACGCGTCGTCCACCTGCACTGGACGCTCCCCGATTTCGAGATTTTCACAGTCTTCGAGATTCGCGACACTCGACGATTCCATCGAGGCTACCCAACAGTTCTTCGATTCTCTTCAAACGACCCTCCGGGGAACTCCCGGGTCTCGCCATCCGCGCAATCTTTGGAAATCTGTAGTAAACTAATCTCTGACCCGGCAATTCCACCATGGGAAACTATTCGAAACAATTCCAAGTCACCGATTCCGCTCGAATCGTCGATTCCTCGGCCATTTTCCCGCGCGACTCCATCGATCATCGCGCGGCTCCGTCAGGAATCGCCCCAAAAATCCACGAAACAGATCCTCCGTTAGGATTCGACCGGAGCTGGGAGGTGACGATCGAACGATCGGATCTCGAGGAGGTTTCTCGTCGGTCAGACGGAACTTCCGGCGCCTTAGTCCAGGCACAGAACGTCTAGCTACGCTTCGGAACCGCTCGAACACTCCTCGGCCTCCGGATCGATGTGCTCCTCTTCCTCCTCCTCCTCGTGGTGATAGTCACCGGTCTCTTGCTGCCACTTGCTCACGTGATGGGTGTTTTTGTTGTTCGCGTTGTTGTTCCCGTTCCCGCCCCCGCCCCCACCCCCGCCACCTCCGCCACCCGATTGCTGCTGCGCCTTCGCCTCCTCCTCCTGCTGCATCCTCTTGTGCTTCGTTCGTCGGTTTTGGAACCAGACCTTCACCTGCAACGACAAAACCATTTCCCTTACGGTTAGCTTCTATTTCTAATACCTAAAATATGGGTTAATTTACCTTTTTAATTCTAGAGAATTTGTAGAGAATTGTAAAGAGAATTTGTTTTAAATATATACCAAATTAACCCCTTTGTAAATCATATTTACACTTTTACCAATCAAGTTTTCGTGGGGCATACAATTTAAATACGATTGTAGAGGTATTGCTTCGAAATGAAAATTTTATTGCACCAACACGAGATATTCATTTACCACTGAAAGTAGGTAAATTTAATTTGCAAAAGGGTTAATTTCAACTGTAAAACCTTGCAACAGCAATCTACCCCAGTTTCGAGGGGTTACCAAAGAGTTGGTAACGCTAACAATTTTGTAAACTATACAAAACAAACAGTCTACCATGACTCAGTGATTAGTAATCACAAGCTCCGGGGCTTACCATCTTCATCCCCCGCGCCCAATTCCCATTACCCGAGTGAATCGGTCTGCGAGTCCGTGCTCGTAAACAGTTTCCACCCCATCGCGAGACGATCGTCCGCGAGCATGATCCCCCGGACGTAGGCTAATCCGGGTCTCGTCAAAACCACGTTGGATCCGATGTTAGGCAAACATCCGTGCCCTCCGTACCTATTTTCCACTTTCGCCGCGACAATGCCGATTTCACGCGTTGATAGTTCGAAAATGGGAGCCCTTTCAACCCTTTTCTCCCGAAGAAGCGCGAACAGGACAATGTGTATCTAACAGTCAATTCGTGGACAATGGTTGGTTCTGGCTTTAGGAGTCTCCCCATCGTCGGGGAGTCGTTTCATCCCTTTTTTTTCCTCGCCGTGGGGTTCCGCGTCACTGACACGGACCATTGTAACCGGATACACCCCGTTTAAGGGTGGTTCCTTGATACACTGGGGCGGCTTATAACTAGTTGCCACTTAATTTGGCAAGCCTCGCGGAGGTCGAGGGTCGGGACACCCCTTCGGGGACTCGCCCCACGGAATCGATAGTCGAACGAAATGACGCGCGCCGAACCGTTTACGCTTTATTGCCACGCGATTTCAAGCGTCTCGTCGAGCATTTTTTAAGGGCTCCTCAATTTTTATTCCTCCTGTCTTTCAGAGATTTTATTTTTCGTTATATTTTCATGCACGTAAATGTTTAGGCGACGAAAAATTTGGGAATTTAATCTTACGCAATCCACGGTGAACGGGGCGACCATTTTACGGTGCTCAGGTTTGTCGTTAATAGTATAGTAAATCTTCGAGCCGCATGGTGTCGAGTTACGCTGATTCGTGGATGGTTGCAACACTCGGTAATTCGCCGAACCTCGCCCTTTCACCTTGCTTTCTCTAGCAATGTGTGTCACGTTTTCACGAAACTTATTTCATTCGAAAATGTGTACCGAAGGTGTGGACTAAAATTTCGTACGTTTCTGGGTGATAAAGTATCGAATTTCTTTTCATAAATAGAGTACAGTAGAGTTCCGATTATACGACACACGGGGTATATTTACTTCGACCATTCTTTGGTAAATATTATGTATATATATCGAATTTTTAAGAAAAATCGACAGGGGTTAGGTGCCAAAATTAAAAAATTTCAAATCATTCTAAAAAAATTATTTTCAATTGCGGGGGTCGATTACAATCATTTTTGGTTAACAGACATACCCCCAAAATCCTGCTCAGTTTCGAGAAAAAAATTCCTTACCGAAAACATAATATATACAGATTCCTTTTCATAAAAGAGTACAGGAAAATCTGAATAACTCAAATTTTGAACTAAAATCGAGTACGGAAATGTATTGTTGGGAGATAGAAAGATATTCCAGGCGTTGCAAGTACTTTTCAGTGTGAAATATCTTAAGTTTGAAGGCACCTTTGGTCGCGTGCACCTTTCCCACGGGTCGATGACGAAAATTCGGTTACACGGGGCGACGAAACCCGGCGGATGGGTGCTCGGTGGTCGAATAAAATCGCGTACGTCGTGGCGCGGCGTCGCGGCATAAATCGTCCAAGCTGCTGGAAGCTTTTATGCGATTTTTACAACGCGCCCCCGTAAAATACTGGCATCGATGAAGCGCGGCTCCACAGGGCTGACGGAGGGTAAACTCAGTTAAACCGAGTGTAAATCCAGCTGGCTGGAGTGTGTAAATCCAACGCCGAGGAGGGTTGCTCGTAAAGAGAGAGACAGAATCGGGGGAAGAGGAGAAATTGGGAGAGGGGTCGAAGGGGGTTGAAACGTCGAGCTGATCCCGGGGAACGGGCCACCGTATAGGAGGCGGAAAGGGGTGGCCGGGGTTTTCGCGTGCGTGAAGATCCGCCAATCGGGTTTCAGGACCGCCCGCGGTCTCCATGGCAACCCTCGGGGACAGAGGGTGATTACGAAATGGGGGTAACTCGATTAAACGTACGACTAGGGTCCTGCAGGGAGCGTTAGAAGCGGCCAGAGCCGTGGGGACAGGTTCCTGGGGATGAAGCTACCGCACTGTTAACGGGGGTGCTCTCTATTTGCCCTCTTAATCATCCGTTAAGTGCCACAATCCTCGAAAAGTTCCCTGGAGTAGGTACACGGTTACCACCTTGTTCGACGCGAAATTTCGTCCGCGACTACTCCTCGGACCCGCCATTAATTTCGAGGCTAATTGCTCGCGCTGGCCGACAGACGGCTCGTTTCGAGGCGAGATTAACCATGGGAAGACACTACGGTGGAACGGATATAATTAAATTTGTCTTTGTACAAGCTGTGTCGTGGAGAAAAATATGTAGCGTTTAAAGATAGTTTCTTGAAAATTACCACGCTATTATGTTGGTTAGAAAAAACTTCTTCCTCTTTCAGTTTTTCAATATAATTACGAACAAAATTCTGGCTAGTTTGCTACTTTACTACTTTGAAGTTGTGATATAATTGTGACCTTTGGAAAATATATTCTTTTCCTTTTAATCTTTAATACGAGCTTTTTTCCATATACTGTGTAAAGGATTTTGTAGAATCGCTATCATGAGACTTGAAGATTCGTGTAATTTCTTGACTACGAAGCGGCCTATCGACGCGACAAATTGCAAAAAAATCGTCCGTCAGTCAGCGTTTCGAAAAGGCACGAAAACAATATTGCAACGAAGATCCTGCATCCGCAGGAGGACGTCCGAAGTTATTATCCTGCCACGAGAGGAACAGATTGACAAGGTACATTGCTACAGAAGTAGCAATCATGGCATCAGGGGCAGCAAAATCATTATAAAACGATGTTGCAAAAGGAGTTAGTAAACGGTCGGCTCGAAGATCGTTAAAAGAAACTAATTGTACGTCTCTCCTCAAAGAAGAACATTGAAGATCGTTCGGTTTTTGCGAAGAAACACGAAAGATGCTACATTAAACGGAGGAAAACAAATTATTTGATCGAACGGGGATAAAATTAATCGATTTTCACGAACTTCTACAACTTTTTAACAAGCAGTTAAATATGACAAAGTCATTTATGGACTAAAATTAAATACAAAATAATGGTCAAATTAGACAGAGAAATATTTGGAAACAATTAAAAAAGTGATAGAATTTATGTGTATTTTTTTTCTAAAAGAAACGATGATTTATGATTTAAAAAATATCCCAAGGAAGAAAAATTCTGATAGTTTGATCGAATAGTAGAATGAATAATAGGATCACGGAGTTTTGTTTGATCAAAGTTGGGCAGGTAGATGAATGCGTAGGAAAGCGTACAATATATCAAGAGGCGATGTTCGATCCAGGAAACAACCTCCGCGCGATAATCATACCAACGATCACTCAAGCTCGAAACGAATCCTCGAGATGTTCGATCATAGACCAGCTCAAAACGGTCTGAACAGGATCGGTCGATCTCCCGAACCTCAAAGCTATCCAGCAAACGATCTAAACCGGGGATGGGAAACCCGCGGCCTTTTCAGCCGTTCGGGGCAACCATTTTGCATATTTTAAAGGAAACTGACATAATTTTTCAAAAATGGCAAAACAAAGTGCACTTCTATTCTTACACGTTGACTGCTGGACCAAAACTCTGATTTTAAACAACTATAAACTGCATAAATTAAAAATTTGTCTTAGTATCTACTCTCGTCGTACGCTAAAATTCATGAACTCTGTTCAAATTTATTTCCTTTAACGTTTCAGCTTGAGAATGAATTGTTTCAGTTCCGGGAGTGAAAGACATGGCTGTCGAACTTTTCTGTTCAAATTAGTAAATAATAAGATATCCTTCCATTCAAAATCCTCAAAATATCGGAGGAACAATGTACATCGGTTAATTTTGTTATTCTAGCTACACAAATTTGTAAAAAGGGTCGATTAAGTAGTATTGTTTAACCGACCAAAATTAGGAGAAAGGCCCAAAACGAAACGAACGGGAGTTGCGCGAGCAGCGGGGATATTTGAAAATGTCCGTCGATCGGATGCCCGTGGAGGCAGAGCAATTGGCCCTGGCGGCCAATTACGCCCGCAGTCCGTTATCAATCGTCGGAATTTCCGAAACGCAAATATGGACAGGCATCCCGAAGAGCTCGTCAGGTCCGCGACTCCTTTTCCGACGATGCTGTTTCGCGCAGGTGCCGCGACGAAAAGGACGATCCCCGTCGCGGCGGGGTCCGTCCTCGCGCACCTGTGCGTCCAAAGCGGACCGACGGCGAACGAGGAGGACCGTCACGAGTCCCCGGCGTTCGCGTATAAGGTGTTCACCTGTCACTTAGACGCGTTCCAGGAACAGCTTCAATTATGCGGCTCCCGCCGGAGGCTGGTCGCTCGCTCGCTGGCGGACGTGATCGCTTTTCCCCCGGTGCGGTACACGCGTACTCTCGTTATCTCACGGACAGGATCGACGGACGTTTCAACCCTCGCCGACGTCCTCGCGCAATTTTTCGCGATCCCCGATCGCCGCGGATAGATATTAACCGTAATCCGTAATCCGCGCGGTAATTCGATCGATCGGGCGGCGCGAGAACGCTCCGCGAGCACGTCGAGTTCTCGAT